AGAAAGAGACAAAGTTGTTCAGGGGTTGTTCATCACCGTTCATCACATAACTGGGGCACAGTAATCTCTCGAAGTATTTTTGATAGTTATAAAAAATATAGTTTGTCAATTTGCCATCATTGTACAACGATGAACAACAACTAGACAACTTTTTTAAGCAATGACGTCATCGGAATCGCTTATGGCTGGCAAGCAGCATTCCTCTTAGATAAATGATGTCGCGCAAGATTTATTTACTTCATGCCCATTTTGACACCTTGTGCGTAGATAATCTAGGGGTGGTGAATGCTAAATGCAAGACTTTGCAAGAACGCGAGCCTAGCGTTTTTCTTTGCGAGCCCGAGACATTTTGACTCCTTCAATTGCGAGACCAAGACTAAATACAAGCTCGCTCGAGACGTTAAGTAACTGTTCAGAGGTTCAGACGTCATTTATAAAAAATGCAAACAAAATATTACTACGAGACTTTCTTAGCGTGCAAAATATCGAGACTGCGAGACGCGCATAACCGCTGAAACGAGACTGCGAGACCCGTGAAATTAGACGAAAACTTTGCGAGACCCGTGGTTTTTGAAGACCATTCGCCACCTTTTAAACTTTTAGCTTCTTCTTTCGAGGGATAGGTGTTTTTTTCGATTGAATTACTTTAAAGCGCCCTGACAGTTACACTGCAAAACATTCGTTTTCGGACGTTAACGGAAAGCGCGATCCTCGCGTGCTACAGACCTTTCGTTCGGATATCGACCGTCGCTCGCGTTCGCAAAAAATACGACCGTTTTGCAGTCCAGGCGCGAGAAAAAACCTCTGGTACCCAGGGTACCTGCGTCGCGAAGTAGCGTACAAATCCTTGTTCTCAGTAGACCTCCAAGGAAGAAAACGGACTGATCAGAAGACGCTTTCGAAATCGCTGGGAATTCTCATTGGGTTTTGACGATTCTCCCGCGGAGCCCAAATGTCCTCAGGCGTCGACCTACAAGGAGTGACACCAAGAAGTGTTCAACAAAACTAAGGCGGGGGTTAACATGAAGGTTGTATTTTGGCTGCGTTATGGTTTTAACGCAAATATCTCGTTCACGTTTCAAGCAGTCAAAAATCTCTCTGCTCATCCCACATATCCACGTTTTGGGCTGTATTGTAAATTTTTGGGTGATTTTTGGGTATATTTGGGGATAAAAAGTTGTTGTCAAAGGATTAGTAAAATTTATGGATATAGGAAATTTGGAAGATTTGATGTTGCTTTAAAATGTTATCATTATCAATATATATTGCATACGTACTTAAGGAGAACATTATGCAGATTCTGTGGACTGTACAACTCGAA